AATTTTGTTATTTATGATGCAGTTGTTCATTTCAGAAAGGATGAGTTTGTGGGTTTCTTGGGTTAAGCTTTTCAGGAGTTTTGCCTTTATTTTGTCCCTTCCCGGAGCTGTGTTCTTGATATGTGATAGGGCTTCATCGTACTCTGTGTCTGTGATTAGTTTGTAAGTATAGTTTCGTGAGTTGTTAAAGTAGTTCAAGTACCAGTCATTGATCATGTTCCAGTTGTCATTGTCGAACTTAGGGTTTGTCGATATGCTGAAGGCCTTTTGATACTGTCTGGCGAATGCGTCAGCTCTCGCTTTACCTGTGTAACGTTCTATTCCGTTTTCGTCAATTGTGCCAGTAGTGTTAGTTTTCTTGTATTGTGCTAATTTCTTGATTTTTTGCCAATATGTTTTGCCCTTGTCCCTTTCTATTTCCTTACATGTTTCTAACCATTTGTCTTGACGGTATTGTTGAATCAGAGTTTTAATGTTCCTGTTGAGTTGGTTCAGTGTCTTTTTTAGGTCGTTATTTTGGGTGTTATTATATTATACATTATTATATTATACATATTTTCCTTCAATTTTAGTTAAGGAGTGTTCTTCTCGAATCCTAGATATTCTGCTGAACGGCTCTAAAAGCGCGACTCAAGTTAGCATCTGTTCTCCAACCCAGAAGAACTCATGCAATTTAATCCCAAAGCTTCGATTATTTTAGAAGGAACCGAAAGGAGAAAATGAACACGACATGTATTCACCTATAAAACCAGCACCTGGAGAATAAAAAGAAACACCCAAGAAAGGCCCAGAAAACAAAAAATGTTGAAATTGGTATTAGCGGAGGGAGAAGGAAAGGAGGATATTGAGCAGTCATCATAAAGAATCCCTTCAACGTCTCTTAAAATGATATGGATTACATCAAATCGAAAGCAGAAGATCCAAAATCTGAGTTTGTTTAATAAGTTTTCAGTTAATAAGTGACCATCCAGCAGAAGAAGAAGCTGAAAAGCTAGAGAGAAGAGGTCTAGCCGAAATAATTAGTCAAATAGTACCACCATTAGAAAGCTCAAAAGAAAATGTTGTAATAAATAACACAAATCTTTTGTTGGCATAAACTGATACACAAAAGTTCTTAAAAAGGCGAAACATTGAACAAACGCAGACAGAAAAACGTAGAGAAATTGGCAACGAAATAATGTGAGAAATAATGGACGAAATGAAGCTGTCGACTACTGGAAAGATATTCGTATTGTTCCCCTACTGTTTGCTTCACATTCTAGTTTCACTAGCAAATCTAACGTGTTTACGAATAAAGTAACCAAAATTGATGCCTTTCTTGCGTAGGAATCTTCTGATCATAAAAGTTTCTGCCTATTAAATGCATATTAATGAAGAAAAGCAAATTATCAGTGTCCTGTTGGCCAAAATATACGAATATTACGATGTTCATGGGAAAAATAAAAAAGTATATGATAAAACGTTGATAAGGAGAAAGCAATGGAATCAAAGGTTAAAGAAATTGATGAAATATAATTAATATAACTAAAATAACCAAAGGTCGAAGAAAGATATTTGTTCACATCCATAATTTACGTTGCACATTGTTCCTACAGGGGACATTAGGACTGGCGAGTGTTCACCAAAAGCTCAAGCTAAGATTCAAAGCGCAAAAATAAAAATAAACCTGGTTTCAGCAAGTCAATATGAGATCAATTTTCACAACATTTTAGTGAGCTTCATTTAAAAAAATTAAGACAATACTGAATGGAACAGAAAATGAGCGATTGTTGACACGATGGTCGCAAAGCATTAATCATTTCATAATGTAACTCTCTAACTTATTTTCTCTTAAGTTGCTTATAGCGGAAAATTGATAACTTTGCCTACAATACAATAAAA